GGGGTAGGCTGATGCAGAAAGAATGTCAGAAACTACTCATGCTCCTACTACCCACCCACAAAACCCTCTCAGGTTGTCAGACACGTGTTTGTGCTCCCTTTTTTCATTCCCACCAGTTATGGTAGAAGTCTGTGCTATGAAACTGAAGATTCCTGGTTCGAGTTCTGCTGATTACTTACCCATGTAGGAACAAATAGCATGGATGTGATAATTAAAGATTGTATCCTAAAGCATATGCGGGGGGCAGCATTAAGGGTTACATGAACAACTTTAACTCTGGCACTTCTTAACTTTGAGCGTTTAAGTTTTCAAACTTAACATTCTTCAGGACTTTTTAATATATATGGGACCATCTATTAGCACTTGTGGGGGAACTGGATATCTATCTCTCAGGACGTTGTATGGCTTCAGAGCCTCTCGCCTGTTGTTCACCACTTTGAGTCCAGCCCAGATCAGTAAGGACTGAAAGTTGTTTTTGACTCATGCTGGCTCCAATACAAGATGAGTTTGGTATGTTTTAGTTCTAGCTCCCAAATCATAAACTCACTACCATACTTAGCACCAATGGGCAAACTCGCTGCCACTCACTGTGCAGACATACCCTCTGAGACTCAGAGCTATAGCACTGAAAATAGCCATGTGGACTCCACTGAGGCTGGAGTTCGGGCATCTGCAACATCTTCCTGAAGAAGAGGGAGATATGGAAGCAGATACTTCACCAACAGCTAAAGGACAAAGCACTGAGAAAACCACAAGGGATCCTTCAGATCAGCACACAGAGCAGTCCGCTGATTCAGCTAGGGCAAGGATTGCCTCATAGATCTAATAGACTGTGTAGAGCACCTGAAAGACTCATTGAACACTGCTAACAAAGTTGAGTATGTTATGGTACCTGTGCAAAAACAATTGGTATGTATGTTAAATGGTTTGGGATTGCTTTTACTGGAAAGGGGAGATGTTAAGAGTATGTACTGTGCCTTTAAGAGTAGGTTAGAGGGAACTGGATTTGGGGCTAGGGAGAATCACTTGGAAGCAGTCTAGTGGCAGTTTCACCAGACACACAGCTAGGAGCTCATGGGTCTCTTTTGTCTTGTGTAACTCTGTTTTAGTTCTAATAAAACCTTACTTCTTAACGCCCAGACTCTTTTTCCTTCTTATGAATTAACAAGACAACCCAGGCCTGGCCACCCCAGATCCAGGAAAAGTCACAAAGGTAAAGGGGAATATTCCCCTCCACCCAGGAACTGAGCTGTACTGCCCCAGAAGGCATTGCCACCACCATCTCCTGGGCACACAGCCTCTGTGTACTGACTACTGCATGGCTTTGTGGGCTGTGGCTTACTCCCCCTGTGCATAGCGGGAAACCCATAGCCCTGTCTCTCACCCCAATCACCTTACATACCCCAGAACACAGATGCTACAATTGTCTTTTTGGCTGGTCTTTTCATGGGCTACAGGAAGACAGGGGAATGGTCCTTATTAACTCCCTCTACTGTGCACCTGTGAAGTTACAGACAAATTCTGGCCCTTGTTCTGTGCAAGCCTTCTAATAATAACCACTTTAACAGTGACCTGTCAACAAGCGGAATCACTGCTAACGTGCTCCTCTGTGATTGGGCATGGCACAACAGGCTCTACTTCTCTACCATCCCTGACAACAGCTGTTCTGGCCCTGCAATGATCTGGTTCATCTTGCAACTTGGCCCTCTGGCCAGGTCACCTTTAGTCCCCCACATTCAGGGGAAACGAAAAGTCTGATAAACTAAACTAAAAATACCCGTAACTCCTTGGTCCTACCTGGACTCACTCCTCTGCAGACTCTTCACTTTTCCCAGGCTCTGCAGAGGTTGTCTCCAGAGCTTGTGCAGAGCAACGCCTTGCAGGGCTTCCTCCATTAAGGCCTAGCCCCACACTCAAAAGTCCTTTTCCCCTTTTGTCAGGATTTTCTGCACCATCCGCAGAGGAACCCAGGCCCTCCCTCTGTGGGTTTCACTCCAGCGACTCTGTGGTGAGCCACTAAAGCCCTCCTTGGACTTCTCCCTATCTCAGTCTTTCTTCAGGCCCTTTCTCACAGCCCTCCCTGGGCTTACTGCACATCTGCCCTGCTCTAAACCTCTCGAACTCTCTAGCAACCACAGAAGGATTGAAGAGTTGTTTCCCTCTCTTCTGGGCTTACCACTGAGCTTCTTCCCCAGCTGGGCCTGGCTCACCCTCCAGGTGCAACCACAAGCATTAATTGCTGTCTGTCTCCAATTAACTCTTTCATTACTAGTGTGGGGTATTATGCTCCTCCACATGGAATCTAGTAACATATTATTTTGCCCTTTCTTCACAGGTTGTTTTTTTTTTTTTTTTAAAGATAAGTGACTGAAGAGAACTGTGCTTTGGGTCTAATCCTGAGCCTACTAAAGTCAATGGGAGTCTTGTCATTTACTTCAATGGGAACTGAATCAGGCCCTTCATTTCTTAAATAAAGCATTTACTGCTTCTTGAACCATGAGAGTAGAAATCAGAGCCCACAAAACGTCCATCTTAAATCAACCCACAAAAGCCTCCCCTTTTTCTCTTTCAAAACAAAACTATGTGTTGACCTGTTTTCCTGGGAAAATATTTGCACATCCCATTAAAAATATGCAGCACAAAACAAGTTGGCTTACGGGCTGTAAAATATAATTAAATATAAATAATTACTCAGAATGAGAACTGTATCCTACATTTGTGGTACCATTTACAGTAAAGGGATTGGGAGATGTATGAATGGACTATACAGCACAGCCCCTTTATGGAGGCTTGAGGAATGCATTAACAATGAAGAGTTACCCTTCCCTTGGAGAGTTCACTGTGAAGCATTATCACAGTGCATTCTCTTTCACTAAAAAGAAATGACATGTGCCTGACAGATGCCACTCCTGGGGCAACTCAGCAGGACAGTATACAATACCAACACCTTGGTATTGATGGGGTTTCCTCCAGCCGCAATGAAACATCATTATTAAAGCACATGGGTCAATTTCAATGAACTCCCTGTTATGGAAACACATTCATTTTGATGAGCACAAATTCTAGACTTCAGCTGTTTGACTCCCTCATTTTAATTGCTAAGTATTTTGCTGAGGGATGGTTGATGGCTCTAACTCTTCAAATAAATGTCCACAAACAGAGAAATGTTGTTTGTCTGCTGTAGCCTTAAAGCTTCCCTGTGGGAGTATGTAATTAGTTTTGGATTTTCAGTGGGACTGATGTACACTGGAAGCTTTTTAAAAGGAAGTGAGGATAAAAAGGAAAAAACAAAAAGATAAATAATTCTTTTCCAACAGAAACTTCTTTCTATGAAAGCGAGTAGAAGTCTTTGATCATAATATTACAGTAAAAATGATCCTTTCCCAAACGTATTTTGCATAGTAATAAAATGTTCAAGGTTTTGCTTCTTCTTAAATGCACTTTCAAGTACAACATATGAGACTTGGGGGAAGAACTGTATAGTTTTGCTAGTGAGGAAAAAAATGCAGCAGATATTAATCTAGATCATTCACAAAAGTCACTGTGCAATTTAAAGAGAATAAGAATGAATTCTGTAAAAATTGTGTAGAAGTAATATGTCAAAGGAGGAAATGTGAAAATGAACCTACCCTGGTTATTTTCAAGTCTGATTAAGGGAGAGAAACTAATTGTATTCATACATTTTAAAATTTCCTCTCCAGATTTCAGACAACGTGTCAACCATACAACAGTCATTTGTACTGTCATTTAAGGATTAGAAAGGATATTAGGCACTTTACAGAAGAACTGACTTTTACTATTAAGTTTATAGCTACAGGATGAAGTAAATATTCCCAGACTTTGGGCTTTTAACAGATCATTCAGAGAGGAGGATTACCAACTTTTTACCAACCAACCAGTCCTGATAATCCTTTCTAGGTACGCTGTATTATATGCTGGAGATATTTCTTTAGTCATTTACTCCTGCATTGGAGTAAAAGGAGGACAGAGGTATTTCCCATTAGTATATGAAAGTATTTTGTTAACAAACTGCCAAAACTGCTCGTGTTGGATCTAACTACACCTGCTAAAGGAGAGATTGGTTATCTTATGTGCAATGGCCTGGTGTACCTGGGAAATGGGTAAATTTAAGATCATCATTAATTACATTCTGCACCAAAAAATTAAAAATTCTGCGCCCATGTATTTTAAAAATCTGCAAATTTTATTTGTCAGATAAATGTGGAGGCTCCAGTATGGCATTGGGGAGCACAGGCCACTGGCTGCACAGGGGTGGGAGATCACTGTGCAGCTCCCCCCACCCAGGACATGGACTCAGCAGTGAGGCTGCACACAACACTGACACAGCGCAAGGACCGGGCCTGCCCCAGAAATACCCCAGGGCACTGCCCCTCTGTGCCAGGTGCACCAGGTGTGGGCAGCCAGGCTCAGCAAGGCAGGATCCAAGTGTGGAGGGGCTTAGTGTGGGGAGATCCACAAGTGGGTTGAGAGGGTTCTGCGTGTGGCAATCTGGGTATGGGCAGCTCAGTCGGGGATCTGGATGCACAGGGGCTTGTTGGGGGTTTTTGGGTGCAGTGGTATGGAACTCTGAAGGGGGGTCTAGGTGATGGTGGTTGGGGTTCAGTATGGGGGTCTGAGTGTGGGGGGATAGAGCTCAGCAGGGGATCCAGATGCTAGGGGAGTGGGACTCAGTGGGGTGGGGATCCAGCTGCAGCTGGCTGGAGCTCAGTGGGTTGGAGATCTGGGTGCAGGTGGCTCATCAGAATGTTCTGGGGGAGTGGGGCTCATGGGGGGGGCTATCAGGGTTGGGGGGGGCTGAGGCTCAGCAGGAGGGTCTGTGTATGAGAGGATCTGGATGCAAGGGGGTTGGGTGGATGGGGAAGCAGGTCCATGTACAGGGATCCCTGCCCCTGCAGGTGAGGAGCGATGGATGCAGGAAATGGCAGGGGGAGTTTGCAGAGCTTCCTGCAGCCAAGGGAGAAACCTGGGATAGATCTAACCTGGTCCCAGATGTGGTGTAGGGGAAGAGGAAGTCCCGTCCTCCCCAGACCAGCCGGAACTAGCAGCTGAGCCCACCGCAGGTTAGGAGCCACCAGCCAGGTCTTCTCCAGTCCTGCTCCCTGCTCCACAGTGATTTACCTCTCTGCCAGCTGCCCTGGGCACCTGAAACATACCATTGGGGAGAGTCGCATGACCGCTCTTGTGGCTTCCCTTTGCTTCCCCATCAGAAAGTCATTTTTCTGCGGGAAAGCAAAGAAATCTACAGAGGACATAAATTCTGTGCATGCGCAGTGGAGCAGAATTCCCCCAAGAGTACATCATGAACCTTAGCACTGATGGGTCTGTCAATGACCACAAACATATAGCATGCTCTGATAATAGTCATCCACGTATCTGGATTTGATAATCTGATTTTGAAAAAGGCTTTTTCTCAAGGTTTTCTGTACCTCAGCATTCAGGCCAAGCCAGAAATACCATGAGAATTTCCCTTCCACCAAGAAAATTTTGGTTCTTCAGTTCCTAGTGCCATTCTAACCCAGGAAGTTGAAAGCAGAACCAAAATATGACAACCCTTGTTTTTTAAAAAAACAAAAAATACAATTAAAAAACCTCAATAATGGTTCCACTCAGTTCTTATTTAATCGCACTCATCCATAGCTGTGCATCAATAGAGCATGTTGCTCTATATGTCAAAACACAAGCTGCTCATATCAGGATACTTTGAATTGTGACAACCTGAGTTTTGACATGGAAATAAATAATGTCAGCCCTGAGTTGAGTAGGAATGCATTCCAACACATTTTGTGAGGCACTGATTCATCATAGATCAGATTCTAAATCCATTTGGAAATAGACTATGCCTATTTATCCAGGCTGTTGGTTTCAGATTTTAGTTGGTTATTACACCGTGGTATAAATCAATCAACCCAGCTTTATTGCCAAAGCTGCTGTTGAGCAGGTTTATATTCTATATCAGGAAGACACAACACAAATGCATTGTAAAATCCACTGCTGTAGAGTAGTGGTCTTGCTCACTAAACTGGACTAGCACAATATAGCATTCAGGCACAATGCTATTGAAGAGTACACAGTAATGGCTGTTTCTGTTTGTTTTACTATGCAGTCTCACACATACACTTACTTTCAAGCTTTGTTCCTGTAAATTATATTTAAAGCTAGCTACTTGTTTGGTATCTTTATACAGGTTTTTAAAAAGTGGCATTTCTATCATGAGCTTACCTTACTCCTTTTGCCAGCTGGATAAGAATAAAACCTAGCCCCAGTGAGAAAAATCTGTTCTCCTTTCAAGCGGGGATAACTTGAATGTGCAAGAAGGCATCCCAGAGACATCAAAACTTTCATAATCCTAGATGCACCCTGGACCCATCCCATGGAAAATCTTTCCATTGACTTTAATGGGTGTTGGAGCATGCCCTTAAAATCTTAGGGCTCAGTTCCTCCAGCGCCGCCCCCTTCTTCCCCCCCGCCTCCAGGCTCACTGCCCACTTCTCTCAGCCAAAGGGCTTATTTTATTTTGAACACAGACAAGTATGCCTGGTAAAGTGTTACCAATCAGAATGATACAACACTAACTTTACTCCTGTGACATACCAGCCAGCAAATCTTTAAATTCAAACACCACTGGAACGTAGATATTTTACTAAAAGTTCCTTTCACACAGATTACATTTACATTGCAACCCCCGGTATGATTTGCAGCTGACATGTTACGTTGACATATCCACGCTAGCTTGCTTGCTAAAAATAGCAGCGAGGATGTAGTGGGGCAGGCTGGGTTTGGAACATAAGGATGTACCCAGGGAGGCCAAGCAGGTTTGCACAGCTAGCACCTTCACTGCTATTTTTTGTAAGTTAGACTAGCGCAGGTGTATACAGAGTTTAAATTTTGCCAGGGCTGAGCCCCAGGACCTCTAGACTTGGCAGTTCATAGCCCTGGCACCTCTGGGCTTGCCACGTCAGTTATGAAAGTAAAAAAATTGCTTGAGCCCAAGCATCTCTTTCGTTTCAAATTAAGCACTGGGTATACACAAGCTGCAAAGTACTCTCTGAGTTGCAGAGTAGATGTAGCCACAGTGGTGGTTCTGACCTCCTGCAGACAGGTACGAAAGGTTATTCTCAAGAAAACCTGTTTGGTTTGTGACACTTCAGACTCAATATCATTTAGAAAAAAAGCCACCAGACCCATTTGTGTGTGGGTGTGGGGTGGTGGCAGGGGTGCTTGGAAAGATCAGTAAAGTATGAAATCTGCTTTAACACTGTGGTTCAAAGTCTCAGTTGACGTCAGTTGGCATTGCTCCATTGATTTCAGTGTCAGCTGCAGTTATGCCAGTTTACACTAGCTAAGGACATGACCCCCATATGTTAGTCACCAGGAGAGTCTCCTGAACTCCCTTTGGACCCCTTTAAAAGTCAAAAGGGAAATTAAATACAAAAAATAGTGCTAGTGAAACATTAAGGCCAGAGGGCAGAGTACTGTGAGGCAAACTATATCCAAGCTCTGTGACACTGATGGAAATTCTGCAACCTAGCCAGATAAATTTAACAAGCTGTCCTATTTAGGATTCAGAGTAAACAACACTTTAGGGTGCATGGAGCAGTCCTCTCCTCTCAGTGCTATTGTTTCAGACTTTCTGCAAAGTTGGGAAGACATTGATGTATTTGTCTAGACTCAGGTCAAGTTTTCAAGGTTATGTGCAACGTTGATGATGGCAAGAAACATCCATTTTTAAAAATGAAATCTGCAGAATGGCAGAACCTACACATTGCTGATTTAAGAATGAAGAACAGGCACACACAAATTAGGGATTTCCTACCTGTCCAGCCCACTGCTCTTATCCAAACTATCCACATCTAGGGACACAACTGCCCAAGTCTATGTAGTCCTCTGACTATACACAATTCTTTTTCCCTCAGCAGGCCATATGACATAACCTGCTTACAGCTACCCCTTCACTCTTACCTTGTGTTTGTCTTCTTCTATCAGTCCCCAGCCTGATGTCTTTTCTACAAGACCATCCTTTAGGAGTTGGCCATGAGGGAGAAACAGAGGCACTCTCTTCATTTCCTTCCCATATTTACTTGGAGGGTGGAGAGTTAAAATGGCTTCTGCAGGTGATCTTGAACACATGGGTAAACTCACCCAGCCAGGGATCCTGAAGAATACCAAATACCATGTGACTTCAACCATGTTACAAGGCTCACTGAAACTTGAAAATGCGCATATTTCCCCCAAGTACCACGGCAAAAAACGCAAACAAAAACCTTTGTTGTGACATTCACACAGCAAAAAAGATGTATGGCCAATTTTGACTGATTTTTGCCTCAAGAAATTTTGCAGGAAACTTTACATTTGAGTATATGCAACCTAGATGGAGCTACTATAAGGTGGGTGCATAACTGGTTGGAAAACTGTTCCCAGAGAGTAGTTATCAGTGGTTCAGTCATGCTGGAAGAGCATAATGAGTGGGGTTCTGCAGGAATCAGTTCTGGGTCCAGTTCTGTTCCATATCTTCATCAACTATTTAGATAATGGCATACAGAGTACACTTATAAAGTTTGCAGATGATACCAAGCTGGGAGGGGTTGCAAGTGCTTTGAAGAATAGGAATAAAATTTAAAATGATCTGGACAAACTGGAGAAATGGTCTGAAGTAAATAGGATGAAATTCAATAAGGCCAAATGCAAAGTACTCCACTTAGGAAGGAACAATCAGTTGCACACATACAAAATGAGAAATGACTGCCTAGGAAGGAGTTTTGCAGAAAGGGATGTGGGGGTCATAGTGGACCACATGCTAAATATGAGTCAACAGTGTAATGCTGTTGCAAAAAAAGCAAACATCTTTCTGGGATGTATTAGCAGGAGTGTTGTAAGTAAGACATGAGAAGTAATTCTTCTGCTCTGCTCTGATTAGGCCTCAACTGGAGTATTGTGTCCAGTTCTGGGTACCACATGTGGAAGAAAACCAGTCCTCACTCTGAGTTTGTGTGCAACATCGCAGAGACTGTTTATTCTCAAGCAATTGCAAGGGGGAGAGTGTGCACGGACAGGGATTCCCCCTTCCTAGGCAGGTCTCTGCTTTACAAGCAATATAAGGCAAGTATTTATACCTTCCTGTTACATACATCAGTGGCTAGTGGTTTATCCTTTGTTTATACAAATTTCTTCAGACACTACCTTATCTCAAGATTTCTGCTTAAATCAGCATTCCATCCTTATCAGCTAAAGTGAGGCAAGAAAACTAAAGCAGAGGCGAAAACAGCATCTCTACAACTCTCACGTTGTTAGAGTTAGAGGCCTTTCTTAATTCTGCTTCCACACACATTTCAGGAAGGATGTGGACAAATTGGAGAGAGTCCAGAGAAGAGCAACAAAAATGATTAAAGGTCTAAAAAATGTGAGGGAAGATTGAAAAAACCAGGTTTGTTTAGTCTGGAAAAGAGAAGACAGAGAGGGGACATGATAATAGTTTTCAAGTATGTAAAAGGTTGTTACAAGGAGGAGGAAGAAAAATTGTTTTTCTTAACCTCTGAGGATAGGACAAGAAGCAATCGGCTTAAATTGCAGCAGGGGACTTTTAGGTTGGACATTAGGAAAAACTTCCTAAGCGCTGGAATAAATTGCCTAGGGAAGTAGTGAAATCTCCATCATTGGAGACTTTTAAGAGCAGGTTAGACAAACTCCTGTCAGGAATGGTCTAGATAATTAGTCCTGCCAGGAGTGCAGGGGACTAGACTAAATGACCTCTTGAGGTCACTTCCAGTTCTATGATTCTATGAAAAGGCTTGCAAAACGGCAAATTTCAAAGTTTTAAGTAAGAAAGCTTGGCATAGCTTTCCACTAGTCACAAAACCATACACAATGCTGTATCTGTAATGGGATTGTGGCACACTTTAAGCCAGCTGGAAAGCCAACATGCAATTTCAGCCATTGCAGAGGAGGAAAAATATCTCTATCCAACAGTTCTGTGAAAACACCTGGTAGAGATATACAGTCCAGTAATAAGTCTGGCACTTCAGCAAGCTTGAATGGCTCTTTATGTCTACACAGCACTGTTATGGCCACACCTTGTTAAATATGCAAATTACAAACAAAATTAAAAAGATCCTCCTACAGAAATGCAAACACCACTTGGCTTATCTCCGTTAACAACCTTCCTAGATTGTTTAATTGCAGCTCTAACAGATGCTAACGAAAACACCTGTCAAGATTACAGATTGCACTGTAGGTAAGAATCAATGTTGTTTGATTTCTGGATTCAAAAATAGGAAACACTTTGCAGTGTATTGGATAGAAATTTGATGTCATGTGCTGTCAATCAAGAGCATCTAATTTGTAAGCCACAGCTCCATACATTTATTTAGCCAAGGCAGAGAACAGTATGATCTAGGAGACCCAGACGGAGACAGATAAGCTTAAGGCTAGAGTCTGAGTTTAATTCCTGAAAGTGTAATTGTGGGCAATAGTACTAAATATGCAGTAGTGGTTTTCACCAGATGCTCAAAGGCACATATTGCATTTCTCAGAGCAGCTAGCCCATGGTCTCTAAGCAGGGAGGATGCCAGCCAAAGCCAATCCACAAGGAAAAGGGCATCTATTCCTGCTGCAGTCACACCTCCTGCCTTGTTGGGGGGGGGAGGGAAGGACTTCCAAGGCAAACACACTTTTTAATTAGAAGGCTTTTCCCAGGAAACAATAAGATTGGAGCTAGACCATCCAGAGCTGGAGCATGTCTTCCTGTGTAAAAGCTGTGGAGGATCAACGTTAAACTGAAAATTAGGGTTTGATGGAAATTTTCCACTGAAACTTCTTTTTGATGAAAACTTGATTTTTTTTACTAATTTAATTTTTGAATTTTTGTTGGAAAACCAAAAATGTATGGGTTTTTCAGTTTTTTTATGAAAAGTCTAAATTTTCCAAGAAAAAAAAACCCAACCACCCCATTTTCTCACCAGCTGTACTGAAAACTCCACTGGTCTTGAAGCCATAGAGTTTCTGCTACAAAATCCCTTTTGGTGGATTAATCTAGTCACAATGCCACTTAGGTTTGTCCCCTGGCCTCCTCCACCATGGGAGAAGAGGTAAGTCCAAAATTGAGTGAGTGGCTTTACAACTTGGTGCCCAGGGGTCACAGCACCAGTCAGGTTTGGGACCTTAGCTCCTTCTCCTTGCTGCTGCCAGGAGGCTGGCTCCTGTACCAAAGCTCCCACCACAACCTCAGGGACTTGCCCAACCTCACCCCATTTCTAGCAGCCTGAGCCCTGGTCACCTCACCAATGGTACACACCATGCATACAGCCACAGATAAGATTGGGTGGGGCTACTTAGTGCTTAACTCTGCCTGATGGGAAGTAACTGAGTACTTGAGTGGGATTTCCAATCTCCTCCTCCTCCGTTTCATGGCTATAGGAGACCCTTTCTGGTAGTAAAGGGATTTGCGTGTGTGTCTCTGGACATACAATGTTTAGTAGAACCCAAGGCAACTGTCTGATACTGAGAAATCCTCCTAAGCTTCAGTCTGTGCAATCTTAACTAACATTTTCAAGGCAACAGCAGCGTTAAGAAACAGCTAACTAGCATTTCAGAGTCCGGGGATGTCCCCCCTTGCTGGGCTTTCTAGTGGGACAGCACTTTAGCCAGCAGGCTTTAAGGGTATATTTATAGCCCATAGAGGGAAATTTGTCCCATTTTCCCTAGTTTAACTCGTTCATCAAGATCCAAACCACGCAGACGTCTTTCTTCTTCAAGAGTAATTAGCCAGCTCAAAGGGATTAAAGCCCTTCCGAACACGGCTTGCACCCACCCTAGTGCTTTTTAACCCTCCCCCCCCCCGGGTTACAAACCAGGCTAGTTACTAAGGCGCTTAGTCCAGACACATTCCAAGTCCTGTTATTCTGGACAGAGAGGTAATGAAACAAAATGTCCCCTGGTTTTAGACGCCAAACACTGGCAATCTCCCCTCCTATGGGCATCCAGGAAAAGCGAGCACACTTCGTGCTCACCAGGGGAGCGTTGAACCAGCTGTGGCCATGAAGGGGCAGCTGCTTTGCTACAGTCACACGTCTGCTCAGTTAGCAGAAGCGGAGGGGCCAGGCAGGTGTGAATTAGCTAACAGGCGCTAGCTGGCTGTCCGCAGGCACGGCGCATTGTCGCCGCCGCAGCTAACCTGTTGCTACCTTGCATTGCCCTGTGCTGCAGCTGCTTGGCTGCCGGCTCCAACCTGCCCCGCCACACGTCTCTTCACCTCAGCTCACCGCATATCCACCCTGCCGCCCCTGCACGCTCCCCTTTGCCTTCCATTGGGCTGAGCTCCCCCCGCCAAAAAACCCCAACCAACCGAATCGGGGCACTAGCACCCTATTTGCCGCCACCCCGCTGTTCACGCGGCTTGTGTGCGCTACCCCTCCCCCCAGGCTATGTCCATTTAGACACAATTGACTCGTTATTTCCGTGTGCGCCCCACCTTTGTAGCGCCATCTCGTGCCTCCCATCTTATACCTAGAACAAAACAAAAAAAAAGTCCCTGCTCCAAAGAGCTTACAGGCTGTGTTTGTACAGCGCCTAGCACAGGGGGTTGGTGGTCCATGACGGGGGCTCCTAGGCACTAGAATAATACAAATAAAATTAATTAATAATAATGCAATGCAAGTCAGAGAACATTCTCTAGTGTTGATTGAAATGGCCACCTCAGGACTCTGTGATGCCAACTGGCAGAGGGCACAGGGCACATAAGGGTTACAGGGCTCCCCAGGGGATAGTATCTTCATACTAGTTCACCATATAATGTCTTATAAAGTGTGTACTGAAATCCTGTGCTACACTGACTATCATCATCTTTGCAAAAAGTATGTGCAGATAATATGTAAGGCGATCTGTGCACATCTATATTGTAGATAGATATGTATATATTGGAAATTATGTGTTTAAAGCATTGCCATTACAGGCAGGTGACCCAGAGGTAATATGCCTTAAGACAGGTTCCAGGAGGTGAGAGACTTACTTCCTGGCTGACCATTGTGTACTGTGTGCCTTACAATGGAAATCTATTTACATACTGAGTCAAATGCTAGTGAGAAGATTATGCATCTGAAGAAGTGAGGTTTTTTTATCCATTATGCCCAGATAAATCTATTAGTCTTTAAGGTGCCACCGGACTCCTTGTTTTTGTGGATACAGACTAACACGGCTACCCCCTGATACTTGAGAAGATTATGGGCACTTCAGGAGATGAATTTAACAGGAAGAGGTGACTAGTTGGTGGGAGGGAACCCAGTTTAGGGATGAAGAACAAAGGGCTGGTGTAATAGAACTAGGGGGTGCAGAAAGACCCCCTGGCAGCCATCATCTGGGGAGGTAAGTTGCCAGCAGGCTTGGTTTTATGAAAAGAAGAACTCAGCCATCCTGGTTGAAAAACGCCGAGAGAAGGACTTAGGATAAGCAGAACCTTATTAGACAAGCAGCAGCTCGTTAGTTAAGTTTAGGCTCTAGAATGTGTGTTATGATTTAATTGTATATGTAACCCTCCTGTGGCCAGTATTTCTATGTGATATTATTTGACTCTGTTCTTTGTTAAATCAACTCATACCTGCTTTCTCTATGAACAAACCCATGTGCTGAGTTAAGTGGAGCTATGTCCTACAGGGTAACTGCTAAACCTTGGTGTATTGTTCCTTTGGGACCAGAGGATCTGTGGCTGTCCAATGGCTAGGCACTCTAGGGAGATGCTTAAAGGACTGGGGTGGGGGGCAGATGGAGTATGCCAATTGCTCGCCTGCAGAGGGACAGCAGAGCCTGCGTGGGCTGAGAGGGGAGGGCTTGTGTTGCTTGTGGCTGATTGAGTCAAGAAGCTGACCCCTACCTGACATAGATGAGGCTTCCTCACGCTAAGGACAGGTGATAGTACAGTGGCTCACAAAGCTGGATAACCCCAGGAAGCACGGCACCCTGATTTGGATGCTTCTGATCCTACCACCTGGAGGCTGTGGCTGACTGGTCTCTGGGGTTTCCCCCCAAGGCTACATGAATCCTAGTGCCCTGCCGAGTGTCATAGTGGGTCTCCCCTGTACATTTCAGGGTCCACAAGGATGCTGGGGGGAGGAGTGGTCTTATCTAGTGCCTGTTTTGCCCCAACCAAACCACCAGCAGCCCCCATTCTCTCTGCCCTCCCTCCACCAAGCAGTCCCTGCTTTGGCTGCTTCTGATACTACTGGCTAGAGCAGTGATACTCAGATTGAGGCTTGAGAGCCACAAGTGTCTCTTTAATGGGTCTCCTGCAGCTCTGTGCAGCACATGATGTTAAAACACTGTGTGATTTAATTATTAACCAATCTGGCTGCTTTTAAATTATGTTATTAACTAATTGTAGTTGTAATATATATCTGACTAATTGTAATACTTGGTCAGATATATAAATAGTAAATGAAACAATGAATTCACTCTACTGTGGCTCTTTGGGTAATGTTGATCACTAATTTGACTCCTGGACCACTGAGGTCTGAGTATCACTGGGTTAGAGTCTGTGGATGGCTGCTCTCTGTGGTTTTTCCACAAGTTCCTCCATGGCTGGAGGGGGAGGGGAAGCACCCCTGTATCCTAGTGCCTCCAGAGGAGAGGGCAAGTCCCTCCTGCACAGCCTCACACTTGTCTTCTACAGTGCCTGCATCAGGGGGATCCTCTCCCTGCTGGAACGGCAGTTTTTAGCACTGCTTTACACCCCTCCGGCCATTTTACCTGGCATAAAGGAGCCAGAGCTTCTCAAGGGAAGTGATGGGAGAAAATAATTTAAAATTGGGCAGTGTAATTGAGAACATACAGTAGGAAACAACCTGGTTTGGAAGCAGGGAGGAGATGATGACCTATCAGTAAAAGGCTTTCTTTTCCAATCTCTAATAGGTACAATTGTCTATCAGGAAACCAGGATGGCACTGTCAATACTCTGTAAGGTTATAGAGCACAGTGTTCTCTCTCTTTTGGCAACATTTCTATATTCTGCACAGTACTAGATAAGGCATATTAATTAGATCCCTTCAGGGATCTATTCAACTGTTGATACATATGTGTAACTCCTGTGTACAGGAGTTACATAGGGTTCACCAAATAGGAAATAAACCATGTCACAAAAGCTGATCTTTAATTACTTTATTTTTCACAATAATAAAAAATAAATTAGTCATAAACAAAAATAGTTAACTTTTTCCATCAAAGAGAAAATGTATACAATATGAAAAGGATGCTGTACAGTTCAGGTTCGGGTGCATTGCCAGGGATACATATTCCTGAACTAGTCACAAAGTACTTTAACTTATACTCCCCCTTTAAATCCACTCAAGAAACTGGCTAATCAGAAAATTACAAAATGGTAACTATGGATTTACAATATGACATATATATATATGCTATAAAATTCCGTGAAAACTTGGATTAGTATGATGAAAGACCTGGACAAAAATGTAGATGGCATACGTAAATAAATACACATTAGGTCCCTTTAATAAAAATCTGCATATTCTAAATAATTGAACTATTTTCGTGCAGTGGCTTGTTCCATAGACATAGCTCAGAATACATATTTCCTATAAACATCTTGTATTTACAAATAACAAAAAATAAGTTATAATAAAGTATATCCTTCTGCCAAGATGGATGACTGGGTTAAGGTGAAATGTAAGTAATTTTACATATATAAAGTAGGGTTTTTGTGTCACTCAAATCGAGGCTTGATGATCTGCACAGTTAAGGCCCCAGTCCATGAAGACATAGGTGCTGGAACTAGAGGTGCTGAGGGTGCTTCACCCCCTAGCTTCAAGTGGTTGCCATCATATACAGGGTTTACAGTGTGGTTCAATGGCTCTCAGCACCCCAACTATACAAATTGTTCCAACACCCCTGCTTAACAATGTCCCTGATGACTTCAGGGAGGGTCAGCAAGGGCACCTACGTCCACCCATGATGAGCACATTGCAGGGTCAGTTCTGAAGAGACCCACACAGTGCACCATGACAAAGCAGGCTAATGAAAGCAGTGTTGTTAGAAAGTCACTGGGAAAGTGTTGAATTTTCAAAGGAAATAATCAAGCCCAAAAGATAATGGGAGTTTGCATTTCTCAATCCATTAAAATTCCAAGGAGTCTCCATTTAAAAAAAATGTAACTATACTCCCTTGTGTTTCATTGAAAATTGACAAAGGGCCAAATCCAGACCTAGTGTTAGTGGATGCATGTCTAATAAAGTTGCACCTGCTTTCACCAGGTCAGAATTTGACCCAATAATTGTTTCTTATAATGCAAATTAGTTTGCCTATTTAAAAACACTAAAGATGAAAATGTTAAGTGTTAGTAGATTGCTTTGATTCAGCTCCCTAAATAGAAACTAACATAACCCCCACTAATATATTCTGTAAGCCGTGTTAGGAACGAAGGAAGTTTACTTTCAGCATTCATTGTTTGAATTTCCCAATTAACTGCCCCATAGACCGACAAATGCTTTTATAGAGAGGAGCCAAAAGGCATTAAACACAGCTGTGCCATAAAAACCAAGTTCTGCAATGATTTTTTCTGCTATTCAATCTATAAATGATTGCTCTAATGGTACTTTTAAAACAGCAGATGTTGTATGTGAGAATACAGGAACAATACATACTTTCATAGTTGTGCAGTTATAGGTACTCTGGGTTCATTGCACAGGAATTCATTCAGTAGTTATTTTAATAAAACGAACCACCAAGGGTTCAGGAGCTGGTTGAACTATCAGGAGAATAGCTCTACTAATAACTAGACTTATTTCTGACACAAACTGTTAAAAGCTATCTTGTTCTCGCTCACTACAAAAAAACCCACCTTGTATTAATTCCCACAGCTGTGACAGCTAGTCCTCTGTTCAAGGTAATAAAATGGTCTGATCACTTAGCACTGCTCTAAACATCAAACATTCTTGTTGAGTAAGCAGGTATGGCAGTAGCTATTAGCACTCCAAACACTCCTGAATGTGAGTAGTCCCACTGAACTCAATTAAGTTGTGGCTATCTCATCCATATGTGCCTTGTCTATGAACTTTTGAGTTAACACATCTCGAAAATACAGCAAGTGTTTTCCTACTTAAAAGGACCCAATTTTGGATCTATGCCATTTGGCTATGGAAATGGGATCATATAAACATTGTAAAAACAACATTAATTCTAGACCCTGATGTATTATGCCCCAAAGACAGATTATTACATTACATTAGTCGTAATTGTATGAGTGTGTTGAAACCACGGCTGGGTTGTGTGATGTTCATGCAAAACCATGCAAACCTTGCCCTCTAGCTTTTGCATCACCCCTCAAAATCTGCCTCTGTCATGTAAGATCAGCAAAATGGGTTCTCTACAGATGTTTGAGAAGCCAGATGTGGGGCTCCCTTTGTTGTGTGCTGGCTTCAGGTAATCACCAGTTTGCCTTATATTGACGATCCACATATTGTCCCCATAGTTACTCTGAGCTTCTATTTTATCCCAGATCATGTAACCTGAAGATTTGAAAGGTGAGAAATAATGTTTTTTCTACTACATATTCACACACAATAAAGAAAAGGTGTTATTCAAATTAATGAGCCTGATTCTGCACTTGCTTACACTGGTTTTATACCCGTGTAACTCCACTGAGTTCATTAGTGCCAGTCCTGATTTACATCAATGTAAGTGAAAGAATCAGGAACTATACATGGTGTCAGGCCAAACTGGAGCACTGCTATATAAAAACAAACACTTGTAATAATTAAAATGCAATAACTGGTTTAAATGAATAGTTTTAAAAGTGCACTTCATGTGACAATGAAATAGTACCATAGATAATATTAGTCCTTCTGCATCAGTGTGTGTAGGAAAGGAGAGTTGATTAGTTTATATTCTAAAAACATCTATCATAATTATAGTGAAACTTGCCAGTGACAGCAAGAGATTAAATCTGGCCACAATCAGGCTGACTCCTTACTGCATGGTGTTTAATTAGGTGAGACTAATACTTTTTAAATAGTATATATGAAAACTGGCCTTACACCAGATAGCTCAGTTTATATAACTATCAATATAAGTGACCACATTCAACTAACAAAGCAATGAATCTGAGGAGTAATACAGGGTATATATACATAGATATATACCCTTTTATACTCGGCTCCTATGAACTTTGCCGTCTTCAATGGTAAATTAATGGAGCCCACAAAAAGATAAATCCTTCTAAGCCATCCCAACTGCCACGTATTCAAGAGCAACACATTTTATAACTTGCCTACAAACCGTGTAAAGCACCACATTCACATACCTATTTACCAACTCACTGTTCAGCTTAAATTATTTACTTTATCCAAAGGTATGTGCAAACTGTTTATGGTTCATATATTATTGTTGTGTGAACTATAATTTATTTCTTCATCTGGGATGTAAATAATCTTTTTATGCTACAGATACTTCCCTAAAGTAGATGAAATACACTTCTCTTAAGGCAAAAGAGAAACAACAAAATTAGATACAGTTTGTCAGGATTTGCTACAATGTGACATTCATATGAAAATTTATATTTACCACCATTGGAAATTTGACAGTTCCTCCCCATAATTCTTTGGTCAAGAATCTACTGTATACAGTGTAATCTCAGATCTTCAAGAGCTATATAAAGTCCTTGATGGATGACTTTTCATGACATAAAGGCATAGGACTGAGAAGGGATCATTAACTCAAAAAAAAAAGGTATATAATTAGTCTTTCAATTTCATACAGGTCTCCCATTGTTTAATTAAATTAATTAGAGGATAATCCAAGTTCTAATGACATTTAATAATTTCTAATCACAAAGAATCATTATTGTGACATCAAATTTTAGAGACAAAGGAGAACTCCCACTGATTACAATAGGGACTCCTGATCAAACATTGATGGTACAATAGGGCTCAGAGATAATCAACATAGGACTAGCATAAAGCTCAACAGTAAACATGTATCAGGTATAAATAGGATTATTTGGCACCATTTTTGAATTCAGACAGTGGACACCTTAAAAATGGACTCAAGATTAAAGGTATCAGTAGGGTTTAGAGTACATTGCAATGAGTAATTCAATAAGCAAGTTATTTTTTTCCACCAGCAGAACTCAGCGCTACTTGCACAGAAATACTTAAAAAGACTCAATAAAAGTGGATGAACTGTGAAATTTTCAGGTAGTTTAATACCTTTAATCTGCACTGAATGCCTTTATCTGCACTGAATGTCTCATTCTGTTTAGCTCTAGCAAATTCCAGGACTGAGTACAGTAAGTGTAGAAAATGAAGATCATCTAACCCAGGTGCAAATCTGTAACCATTCTTGACTGGAACAGGGAGACATGGTGTAAATAGATGCTATTCTTTTAGAGTAAGTTTACTGAGGAAGAAAACAAACTACACTGTAATAATCCTTCAACAGATAGGAGTCAGGATTTCCTTAATACAGACTTCCAAACTACTGCACTAGCAGTTTTATATATATATAAAAAAAAACCCACCACAGACGGCTGATACCAAAGGGTTATGAAAACATGTTAGAGACAGAGGGCCAGATCCTTTGGTGGCAGCTTCAGAAACTGATGGCAATCCTAACTGAATCTTATACCCATTTGGATTGATCCTATTACTTACTGAACACTTCTATAATGAAAAATTATTATGCAGCGAGATTGCTACATCATGGTGGAAGACCCTCTGCTGGTGTAAACTGACAATTTAGATCAGTGGAGGAACATCACCCATTTGAGCTTCAGCTGTTAGCTTCACATGTTAAAGAGAAGACTTAAAAGACTTAAGGGCACTGTGGTGGGTTTTCAACATCCACACAGAATTACAGGCTATAACTTTAATGCACTAGTTTATGAATTAGATACAAGGCACTTATAGGCAGTCAATGTGTGTACATTTGCTGCTTAGTTGAAGGCAGGAAGTTAGTGAAAGAGAGCTTAATCATGACACTAATTTAGTATGAAGGGTTGAGGTAATAAAACACACATATTAGGGTGCCAGGAAATTGAGCTTAAATGGATCCTAAGGGTGTTGGGTTTTTTTATGACATAACACTTCTCATTTACATGTTCTACTGATACCATCTACTAATTTAAGTCCAAAACACCAAAGAAGGGTTGATACTCAGCAAATGATCATGCTGCTGTATCTGTACTGGTCAAACATCTCCAATAAATGCATTTGACTGATTTTCCTTTCATTCAGTTCATAACAAGAAGGGTGGTATTTTCCTTAAATAACAATTATTTGATGAACAGATGCATACAATAGTATCAGTAAAAAATAATGCTTTAAAAATCACGGTTTTACAATGAACATTTTAAAAGCCAAAAAGCTCCTATTATATGCTGCATGTTATGTGAGAGACATAACCATAGTCTTGATGTGCTCAGCAATAAGGAAACCATCTCTTTAAGAACGTAGAACCAGTTGCAGTCCAAACAGTAACACTGTTTATGTTCCCATATCGAAGGTAAACATGGACGCTACGGGTGATGGAGTAGTTGTTATCTGCGTCCTAGAAAACCTGATTGTCTATTGGCCACCCTTGTGCAGGATGCACAACAAGCTGTCTTGTAATAGGTATAGACACAGAGACGGGCCTGCACCACCACATTGCAGTTGTAGTATTTGTCTTTGCAATTTTCATCTGGGGGGGAAAACAAAGCACAGACTTTTATGATTCAGAAAGAGTATGTTATCAGAGCAGATTATGGTAGAGTGCAAATTTATTTTTAAAGATTTACTGTCAGGTGAAAAAAGCATATATTTAAAAATAGCCTACTGATGTAAGTAAGTTAAATTATTAAAACTACAAGAACTTTTTTTATTTGAATAAATTTAGGAAAAAAATGCACATATTTAAAACAATCTACTTTACTTTTAACAATTTGTGTTTGCTTTTTACACTTAATTTGGCTTGAATAATGAAAATGGACTAGATAGTAGCACTTGTATTTATAGTCAGGTTTGTGTCATTTTCACTTTCAGATTCTCAGGTAATAAATACCATGCTGCAGTGTTTGGGTGGCTAATGCTTCAGGGGAATATTAACAGTACTACCAACTCCCAAGCACTGAAAAGTCATGAATCAGGCCCCCCACAATCACAAGATTGGCTTATAAATATTGAGATTTTGAAAAATAATAAATGTTGGGTTCTTTCTATTTGCCCTCTGGGTTCTGAGCCACTAGGATGCACTCCACTCACATTTAAAAACCATGAGGGCTAGAAACTTGCTTTTTTGATGAAAACTGAGATTCTCTCATAATCACATAACTCAAAGAGCAGGGATTTTAAGAAAAAGACCAAATAACACAAGGCACACAATAAAATCATGAGACTTGTCAGTATTAATTTGTTTTAAACAAAACTGTTTCCACATGGAGGAGGAGGAGGAGGAAGAACAACAACATTTCTATCAGTCTTATGCTACATAATAGCTAATTTTTACAAAATCTAAATTTGTGAACAAATTTGACCTGAAAGTTGCTGCAGAGTAGAATGAGGTTCTAACTATTTCTTAATACATCTTTCTCCCCTTCTCTAGTAATTATAATTAGTAATAAAATGATTCCATAAAAATTATGAAAAAAATCCCTGACAATATCAAATTAATGTTAACGTGTTACATTTTGGTTAATAAATTTCATGAAAGAAATTTGACTATGCATTGACATCTTAGGTTGATATTTTAAAATCAAGAAGAAAAGTGAAATCTAGGAATTATTTTGGGGAGGTTCTATGGCCCATATTATAAAGAAGGTGAGACTAGATGCTCATAATGGTCTCTTCTGGCCTTGGAATCTATGAATGTATGTAACAGCACCGGGAAGTTCATAATAAAGAAAATGTCTTTTGTATGCATAGTTCCTTGTAAAAGGTATTAGAAGACATAGAATATTATACATGATTAAATTTTCTGGTTTTAGGGTTAAAGCAGTAAGAACCCACCAAATCAAACATTCAAAATACGAGGTTCCATAAAATACACACTAAAATTAACCCAAATGTGCCATTTTAGCAGATCCAAAAATCTTTCATACGCTCTGGGACTTCAAAGGGAAGTCAATTAAGGATAGTGTTCAAGGAAAACATTTTAATCAGAAGACTCAAAGAGCTTGGCTTGTTTAGCCTAATCAAAAGATGGCTGAGGGGAGACATGATTGCTGTCTCTAAATACATCAGAGGGATATATACGAGGGAGGGAGAGGAGTTATTTAAATTAAGCACTGATGTGGACACAAGAACAAATGGATATAAACTGGCTATCAACAAGTTTAGGCTTGAAATTAGACAAAAGTTTCCGAAGAGTGATGTTCTGGAATAGCTTTCCAAGGGGCGCAGTGGGGGCAAAAAATCCTAACTGGCTTCCAGACTGAGCTTGATAAGTTTATGGAGGGGATGTTATGATGAGACTGCCTATAATGGCAGGTAGTCAATCTGTGATGGCTAGCAGCAAATATCTCCAATAGCTGGATGGGACACTAGATGGAGAGGGCTCTGAGTTACTACAGAGAATTCTTTCCCCTGTGTCTGCCTGGTGGGTCTTGTCACAAGCTCAGGGTGTAATTGATCACCATATTTGGGGTCAAGAAGGAATTTTCCCCATGGTCAGATTGGCAGAGACCCTGGGTTTTTTTTTGCCGTCCTCTGCACCATCGGGCACAGGTCACTTGCTGGTTTGAACTGGAGTAAATGGTGGATTCTCTGTAACTTGAAGTCTTTAAATCACAATTTGAGGGCTTCAGTAACTCAGCCAGAGGTTATGGGTCTATTACAGGAGTGGGTGGGTGAGGTTCTATTAGGGTGACCAGATGTCCCAATTTTTTAGGGACAGTCCCGATTTTTGTGTCTTTTTCTTATATAGGCTCCTATTACCTCCCACCCCCTGTCCCAATTTTTCACATTTGCTGTTTGGTCACCCTAGATGCTATGGTCTGCAATGTGACTAGGTCAGACTAAATGATCATGATGATCCTTTCTGGCTTTAAAGTCTATGAAAACCTACTGTACCTTTTTAAAAAGAGAGCCTTGTTTTGTTTAAAAACGAACTCCTAAAATTGGAACAGAAAATAAACGCTGAACCAAGAGAGCCTATACAGGATTATTAAATATTTTCTTCACTAGATGGAGTTCCACAGTCAAAACAGTCCAGTTTTCCTGTCTCCTTACCTATTTCTGGTATACAATCCTGAGTGTTACAAGGTTCTTTTTCTTCTGGTTTAAGCTGTGGATCACATTGGTTACTGGGTGTCAGATCATCTGACAGACATCGTACTTCTCGAACCCGGAATCCTCCTTCACAGGATTTGGAACACTGAAATCAAATGAGTTAAAATTCAGGAAGGTGATAATTTGTACTAGGAAACCCCTACAGAGAAAGGGGACTTCTTTAGCCTTATCCAAAGCCTCCAGATTTCTTTCCATTGACTTCAATAGGATTGGGATCCTTAAAATGCTGACTAAAAAGTTATGGGATTCATTTCCGGTTATGGCTCAAGAAAAATCCCTGTCCCCATGATCCCCAGTACAAGTGAGCAGGACAAGGCTCTCTCTAAGAGAAACCATTTCAATTGAAATACTCTCATAGTACCCTCTTCTGGGGTACATTTTATGAACCATCCTGATAGCTGTATGACAGGAAGCCAGAAAGATTGTTATAGATGTGAGAGGAATTCAAGGAACAATTTTTTTTTTGGGGGGGGGGAAGGTTCCAACATGATGGAGTGAACTCCCTCCCCCCCACTCAGCTGCAGCTCTTTCATAACAGTCAGTGTGATAACAATGGGAATGCTGTTCTCCTGTCTGATGAGCAAGGGTCATTGTTTTTGCTCAGGGATTGGCCTGTACACCACACCAAATCAACCTCAAAGAAACTATTGAACAGAAAGTGGGTGTCATGCTGTCTGGAGTGGTTCATGACTGTGAATGCCTACCTCAGGGCAGATTGTCAGAAAACAGAGCAGACGCCCCAAACTGGTGGTGTGTTTTATATTGTGGTTTCACCAAGCCAGTGACAAATGTGAACTCCTGGATCACTATACATATCTTACCATGGAGTCACAGACAGTCCCCTTAGACTCTCCAGTCTATCTTGCCACCCAGACAAATGGACTTTGTGATAAAAGGTCACTTAAACCAAAAGTCACATCACATCAGTTTGCTTGCAATTCCAAGAGACCAGTCACTTATCCCAGATCAATTGGTATTCTAGATCTTACACCAAAGACAATGCTGGTAGCCAATTCTATAGTCAACTAACTAAAGGTTTATTAGCTAAGAAAAGGAAGCAAGAGTCACTGAGAGTTAAAGCAGGTAAAATATATGTACAGGTGAGTCACAGTTTGCAATTCCAAATGGTGCCAGTGATGTAATAAACTGCCAGTTTCCCAAAAAACTTTTCAGGGTTCCCAGATTGTCCGTGGGGATCTCCACTTTGCACCTGTAACCTTTAGGAGTCCATACAGTCCAGAGATGAAGGATTTTTCCCTGAATCCATACTTATAGCTTCTTCTCATAGAAAACAAGCTGACATGTCACTACCCATGTGGGCCTTTCCTTTGATGACAGAGAGAGAGGAACACATTTTGAGTCTTTGACCTCCGATCATCACAATGACCACTTACTTCAAAATGAGCACTTTTCTGTTAAAGTTCTTCATTTGCATTCCACAAGGCTTCTTTCTCTTTTGATGGGTTATTTAGTTACAGGGGTTTACACAATGTAAATGTTTGTTATTACATAATAACAGGATACAGATATGTGAAAACAATGCAGGTAACATTCCACTAGTTTTCATGAAGTTTAAACACCAATATACTCTTATACATTTAACAATCACTTTGATCTATGCTAATACACAAGTGAATTGGCCTGGACCTTCAGCATGAGCTGGCACCTGGTCTGCCAGCATCACAGTAGGCAAAAGAGGGAAGGTGGGGCGAGAACTGTGATTCCTTAATCCCCAAAAGCACTACACTTTCCACATCGCTACCACTCCCTTGGGCTGACCTTAAATCCCCTACACACTCCCACATACCATGCTGGAGGACTGCAGGGGGTCAAGAGTTCTCCTCTGTGTCCTCTCCACTTCTTGGACCATCCTACTCAGTGTAATCACTGAGGTGCTGCTCAATTTTGGGAGCCAGGAGGACTTCACCAAAAGGGCCAAGTTCAGTCTGAGTCTAAAGTGAGTGCCATTCAATCGACTGCAGTGCAGCTGCCGGGGCGGCTCTACGTCTTTTGCCGCCCCAAGCACGGCTTTCGGCGGCACGCTGCGGGCGGTCTGCTGGTCACGGAGATTCAGCGGCATGCCTGTGGGAGGTCCTCCGGTCCCGCCGCCGAATTGCTGCCAAAGCCGCGGGATTGGCGGACCTCCCGCAGGCATGACCTGACTGCCGCCCTCTCAGCGACCGGACCAGCAGGCCGCCCCCCCGGAGCTTGCCGCCCCAGGCACACGCTTGCTGCGCTGGTGCCCTGAGCTGCCCCTGGGAGCTGCACCAGGGCAGACGTGAGCTGAATTTGGCCCTAAGAGAAGTTATAACATTTGGATCACAGATTTGCAGGATGGCTTATTACTGTCTCAGCACCTGCTCCTATACTTGCACATACCATTGATAATTGCTGAGAGTTCTGCTCCGGTTCCTGGCAAGTGTACTAAAATCAGACACAGACAGCACCTTCAAGTATTCTTGAAAAACCCCTAAGCGGATTAAGTGTTTTAAACAAAACAGCCAGTATCTTCACAAAAGTCTTTAAAAACTCCAATCTTTGATAGTGGTTTCTGGAAACTGGGTTAGAAACATTATGTGAGTGTTATTATCCTAAACTCCTTCACAAAGAAGAGTGTATTGGGACTGCTATCCCTCTACCATTAAATGAAAAATCTAATCAGACAAAAGCCAAAATAGACACAAAGGTTGTACTGATAAATGGTAAGGAGCCAAGCCTCATCTATCTATTGTAATGGATAAACTCTGCTTTAAACCCTAGGGCATGATTCTTCACTCCATTAAAAAAAAATAAAACTTAAATTAGCTCAAACTTGATTATGAGATGAACATTGATGTAGAATAATAGCAGTGGCTTAGACTAGAAGTTCACAGCACATCCATCAATTTTTGTCCATTTACAGCAACCATGTGCCCGCAGTACTTTTAAAACACTGCCAAGTGCAGCCTCAATGAGCTTTTCTTCCAACAGCAGTTTCTCAAATGAAGAGACTCGTCTATGCTTTGCTTTGCATAAAGGCCTAGGTTCCTGAACACTGTGAATATACCAATTTTCATTAAATTAGCATTTAGAGTAGGGTTACCATATGTCCGGTTTTCCCCGGACATGTCCGGCTTTTTGGTAATCAAACCCCAGTCCGGGGGGAATTGCCAAAAACCAAACATGTCCAGGAAAATGCCGGCCGGGCACTTCCCCTCCTGCGGCTGCTCTGCTCCTCCCCTGACTCTTCGGGTCTGTTTAAGAGCCGAGCTGCCTGAGTGCTATGGGCTTCAGGCAGTCCCCTTGCCTCCGGACCCCGAGCCACCAGCCGGGCACTTCCCCTCCCAGGCTCCGGCGGTGCAGGGTCCGGAG